AATTGCGATGCGCGAAGGGGGCCCTTGAGTCGGGGGGGGGGCGATGGGGGGTCCATTTTCTTCGAGGGAACCTATGCGGCGCAATTAATTTTAAAGATCTTGAAATTGTCAACTCCGTTGCTCGCGCAATCGCCCCACCCGCCCGCCCGCTATTCGGTTTGCAAAAATCACGCGGCGGCGATGGCGATGAGTGCTTGTTGATGTCTCGTGCGATTCCGCGGCCGCGCCAGCCCGAGCGCGCAGCGGCCGGCTAGCCTGGCGCGACTGACGTCGCCGCGGTGGCGCTGGCCGCTGGGCCTTTTCCGGCGCGTCTCGCAGGCCGCGCTGGCGCGCCTGCGCTTCAGTGCGGATCGGTGACTTCGGCGGGCGCGGCATCATAGCGACGTCGACAACGGTGGGCGCGATAATGGCAGTGGCGAAGCTTGTGGCGATGATGGCGATGGCGACGGCAAGGCCAATGACGACGGCGATGCTGATTACGCCTATAACGATAATGGCGCCCTCGCGTCGGCGATGTCAATTTTGCTTGGATTTTGACGCGCCCGCGCGGCCGACGCGCGAGCGGCCCGAGTTGCAGCGTTCGACAGGGGTCGCGCCCTCCACCCCCCCCGAATCGCGCGCGCAGGCGTCTGAATGATTTCGGCGCGCGCGCGTCCGAGAGGCCTGCTTGGTCGAATTTGATGAGAATCTTGTCAAACCGTTGGTGTCCTCAAGAATTCGCAGGAACGCGCGTGCGCGCGTGTTGTTCAGCACCTGATGTTGCAACACCATGCGTTTTGTTTGACGTTTTCGGGGCGCTCGATTATGGCGGCCTCGCGAAATCGGTTTCGGGATGCTCGCGCGACGACGCGCGCGCGCGCTTCGTCCCGCTTTGACAGGGGACTTTGGATACTGCAGATTCTTGATCAACGAGTGCGCGCGCATGTTTCTGCTGCAAAGGATGGATGGTGGGTGTCGGTCGTTGTTTGGCTGGTGCGCAATGAACTCGTAGCTGACATGGGCAATGGGGCAGAACCAGTTGTAAATTGCAACGCGAAAAGGTGGGCGATTAATCCCGCCGCCCGGGTGGTGGTGGGATCTATTCTCGTTTAGAGAATAGAACCTGCGTGGTGCAGTCAATTTCTGTTCGCACTGATTTGCCCATTCCACCTCTCGCGCAATCACCCCACCCGCCCACCCGCACAGTGGTTTGCAAAACCCACGCGGCGGCGATTGCGATGAGTGCTTGGAGTAGGTTGGTGCGTTTCTGCGGCCGCGCTAGCCCGCGCGTGCTCGCGCGCGCAGCGGCCAGGGGCCAGCTCGTTTGGCGCGACCGACGCGGCCGCGGTGGCGCTGACCGCTGGGCACTTCCCAGCAGGCACTCTAGTGCGAGCAAGCGGCTAGGGCGAGTGCGGTATCATTGCAACATCGGCAGCGCTGATGTAGGCGCGATGATGTTGGTAGCAACGCAGGCAAAGATGATGACAACGACGACGGCAAGGCCAGTGACGGCGCCGATGCTCGTGACGCTGGCGGCGATGACGGCGTCCTCGCGTCGGTGATGAAGGCTTCGGAGAGGGAGTTCGACATGTGCGCGCGGCCGACGCGCGAAAGTGACCCGCGCGGTTTTATTTGACACGGATCGTGCCCCCCCCGCCCCCCCCAGCACGCGCGCAAGGGCGTTCGAATGATTTTAGACGTGCGGTGCGAGGGACTCGTTTGGCAGAGTCGTTTGGCAGAGCCGAATGAGAGCTCGGAAAACGAATTCGCAGGAACGCGAGCGCAAGCGTGTTTGAAAACTGATGTTGAAGAACACTGTGCTTTTATATGTTTCCAGGGCACGCACTGTTGACACCCCTGCGAAACTACACGCTTTTGAAGGATGTCGGCATGCGTGCGCGACGACGCGCGCGCGTGCACTTCGCCAACTGTTTCGCCAAATGGTTCCTGCGACAACACTCGCAGGAGGGCGCCGAGCGATTCCGACATGCGCGCGCGAGAGGCCCGTTTGGTAGCAACGTCTGAAAAGTTTGAACACCTGGTTTCTGATATTCATTAGAGCCCGATTGCAAGCTGAGTTTGGCAAATATTGCTGCCGAGCCAATTGTTTTTCATATGCGTTTTCCCTGGACATTCGATTTTGAAAGCCTTACGAAGCCCAAGCTGTTTGCGGGGTTGTGGCATGCGCGCGCGACGACGCGTGTTTGCGCACGTCGTCCAGTTGTTTGGTTTTGGTTTGATTGTTGTTTGCAATGGGTTCTGGGAAACTCGATGACTTGTGATAAACGAGCGCGCGTTCATACATGTTTTGTCTGAGGATGGGGGGGGATCGCCAGCCTGCCTTGGGTGGTATGGAATCATTTTCCGGATGGGCGCTGGGGTTGAATCGTATGCACATTGCATTACGAAAGCGGGAGCCGTTCATTCCCAGAGGGGGTAGACAACGATACCCAGGGTAGAGAGGAGGATCATCTTCGCGGTGCAATCTACTCAGTGCAATCTCACGGCGGCGACGAGCGGC